GATCTTAATTTTTATTTTATTTATGAGAGCATCATTTTTTATTTTTAATATGTTTAATGCTATCCAAAACTTTCTTTGCCGTAGTGAGAAATAAGTATAAGAAACAACTAAAAGGCATCATGAGATTCCATAACCATGAAAAAATAATGAAATCTGCTCTACCTCACAAGTGCAAACTGCATGTTTTTCGCTTTGAAGAAGAATTCATGAGAATATGAATTTTTCACAAGTTTTTCCCAATTTGAAAGCACGTCAAATAATTTCTTACATTTAATCAATTTGGGATGTGTAGCCCTAAGAGCTCTCCATTAGCCCAGTTTTCATTATTCATAATGGCTGACTTTAATGGAAAATCAAGGAAACCAAACATAGAAAAGAGAATTATTGAAGATAAAAATAAAGGAACAAAGACCCAAACCTTATTATGCTACCCATGTATAAAAAAGTGATTAAGAATGTTTAGATTGACCTTTTTTTAACGAGTATTTATACACAAAACTATAAAGAAAAAAATAATTGTAATAACAAACACAAAAACTGCCCCTAGCTGTCCTGCCAGCTGATCCATTTATGATTCATAGCTGCTATCTTTACTTTTATTATAAGCAATAAATTTATGGCCTCTAATTTTCCTTATCTAACACTACAGCCGGTCTTTCTTGATTAGATGAACGTTCAATAAATCACTTGGCATTTATTCAATAAACAAAGTGGTAAAACAATACAAGTAAGACCTTAGTGGTATATAGATTGTATAAAAGTTCAACGCTAGATAGACAATATGAGCAATTTTGGTGATAGAACAATCAATATTCAAGACAAAACAAAGATCGATTTCGATAGAACCATGCTTTTTTTTTCAGTTATTATGCAAACCCGTTGCACAAAATTACAATAGGCAAATACTCTTCTAAGCCATCCTCGTGCTTCCTTTCCCTGCATTTTTGTCCTTTCTCTACATTTAATTAGTCGAGCATATTAAGCAATAACATCACACAAATAGAAGCATGCCAGCTCCACCAAATCCATTTAATTAGTCGAGCATATTAAGCAATATCACACAAATAGAAGCATGCCAGCTCCACCAAATCAAATTTAAGGTAAGCACCAACACTTCAAAGATCTCAAAATCAAGCCAAAACCATTTTCATCAAAAAACAATAAGCACTAAACCAACTTATAATAAGCTTATTAAGATATCAAGTTCAAAGTGCCATTTTTGCAAGCAGTTTGCAATAACTATAACTTCAATAAATCACACTAGCACTTCAGTGTAAAAAAAAAAAAAAAAAAAATCAGCCCCCGCAATTTAAATTTATGTTATATTAAAGCAATTCTGCAAAGTAAGCTTAATAAGAAGCAACCACGAAATACAACAATGACACATTTATTTTTCTAAGAAATTGCAATATTTTAAAATTTTAATTCATATATCTTTCTTAGTAATTCCAATCTGGTGACTCCATGACTTAGATTTCAAAAGCAAACTCTGCAATATATATTGAAAAAAGAATGCTCTAGTCACAAACAAATCTAAATCAAATCATGGGTCAACTGATGGAAATCTCAAATTTTCCACTCATTACAAATGAAATTTATGTGCATTAAATTGAGCACTTTTATGATAGCCTCAATAATTTTACTTTTGCTTTAGTTTGATTGTTTTAATTCATAGTTTTTTAGATCACATTATTTTTTTTTTTTAAGGCTCTCTTTGATGCTAAACCTAAGAGAGTACATGTAATGCTTATATTGCTCCATTGATGATTTTTTGGTTTATGGTTTCTTTGGTCCACCACTATTTCTTATACATTCTTTTGGCTGTTTGAATTTACCTTCAATTCGTTTAAGTCAATACTGGTCTGTTCATTGTTTCTAATTGTTGCAGCCAGTAACTTAGCATTGTTGATCGCAAAATTTCAAGTGACCAATGATTTCGCATTATAGCGAATTGGGTTCATTGATGATTGGTCACCTAATTGTCGACTTCTGATGTTACCCACTATAATTCATTCCCTAGAACGACATGTTCTGCATTATAGATGGTTCAAGTTTTGAGGGTGTCTCTAGGCATGTAAAACATAATATATTGTTGATTTTTTTTTTTAATCAAACTTAAGTGTGTTGGTAGGAGTGTATTATTCGATTGCAGTGCAAGTGTTGACTGACAACTTTTGGATGATGTAGCTTATAACAAATCTAATTGATATGTCTCTTAAATTTGTAATGGGAACAATATGAATTATAGTAGCTTAGTCCAACAAAGATAGCCCGTACCATTATCTCAACTGTTCCCCATTAATGGCCTTTTTTTTAGCTTGTATAGAATTGAACTAGGATTTGAGGAAGCTTTTAAACTGACATCGTGAAAATTTTGTTCGGTCAGTCTCAATCTTCATATAATAGCATGAGAGGGTATTTTTAACCAAACATTAAAGAATTTTTTAGTGCAGTATATTTGTTAAGAAAAAAACAAGTATTGAGTGGTTCCAACCAATTCTATAAGTTCTAAACTTTTAGTTCCCCATCATAAGAAGATTGCTCCAACTAACATCAACCTTAAAAGTGATTGGACAATACTATCATTCTCATCTTCAGATACCTCACCCTAGGTATATTAAGCCCCGTACAGAATCATCAATATTTTGCTACAACTAGTAGCCAAGACCCTCTTCTATTTCTGAGAAGTTGCAATTAAGAGAGGCATCAACTTTGTAAGATTACTCACATCCCAATCTAATGTCTCAATTCTATTGTCGCCATCCTCATTGGTTAAAAAAATAGTTTCCACTAGAGTAGCTATCAGATCTCTGACCCCAGCTAGATATAGCCATCAAAATGAGGGGTTTTGGTTTTCAAATTTTAAAAAATTTATTGCATTACTTATAAGCTTAGGACTCTACTCTGAAAACACATTACAATAAGAAATCCCCCAAGAAAAACTACGAGACTAATCTTCTAAAGGGGTGCAATCACAATCCACTTACTTTCTTTGGTAAGTGTAGAATGCTCGCAATTAAGAATGGGATGGAATCGAGAGAGACAATGAAATGTGATTGACCTAAAAGGCTTTCAGTGAGGACTTGGGTGAAACCTAAAAGTTTGCTTACACGAGATTTCTTAGAGAGTTAGGATTACCAATCATGGAAGCCTTAGAGACATTCTCTTTCTTGCACATTTGTCATCTACTTTTGTTTTACAGAGATTAGAGGACAAAATATTAAATGGATTTATTGTTTGACAATAACACAGAGAATCAGCATTGTTTTAAATTAAGCTTAGGACTCTACTCTAAAAACAAATTACAATAAGAAATCTCCGCTATGAGATTAATCTTCTAAAGGGATAAAATCACAATACACTTATTTTCTTTGGTAGGATTAGATCACTCACAATTAAAAACGGCATGGAATCGCGAGAGACAATGAAATGTGATGGGCCTAAAAGGCTTTCAGTGAGGAGCTGGGTGAAACCTAAAAGTTAGTTCACACAAGATTTCTTAGAAAGTTAGAATTACCAATCATGGAAGCGAGACAGTCTCTTGCACATTTGTTATCCACATTTATTTTATTGAGATTAGAGCCCAAAAGATTAAATGGATTTATTGTTTGACAATAACACAGAGAATAAATATTGTTTTAAATTTTGCTCCGATGGTAGGAAACAATAAAACAACAAGCAGTCATTTTCCCTAATTTGGCAACACTACAATCTAATTAGTAAGGAATGGGTAAAGAGATATTTATAAAATGATAAGCAAACTACAAATATAAATAAGCTACGCAAGTAAGCAAAATAATCAATCTAATCATGCAAGATAAATTATAAAAAAGACAAGTCATTAGCTAAATGCATATCACATTTATTTTAGATAATTAAATAAAAATACGTTGAGAATGTTCCTAAGAATTATCCTCTTTGGATGGGCCAGTTAGCAAATAGAAAGATTTCCATATAATGAATTGTGGAAGTTTTACATGATTTTCCTGTATTCCCTACTCTAGATGGACGCCCTCTCCTTTTAAGAGTTTTGATCTAATTTTCCTATGCTCTAGTCTTATTGTGTGAAGATTAGAATATTCCCTTAAATTTAGCCTTGAATTTCACCAAGCTTTTTCCCCTTTATATTGGGATTTTGAATCAATTATTTTTCTTTTAGGCCATCCATCTTTGCTAATTTGAACTTCATGACCAGCCTATTTCAATCGTACGAATCAATGAGTTTAGAGAATATCATTTTATCAGGATCCTCCACGATCAATAGATCTAGTGCTTTAAGAAGACAACAATAAAGTAGACTTCAACTTTAGAACTTCCATCAAAAGATTCGTATAATTTAAATAAATCACATCCTCTAAAATCCTTGAATATGATTCTCATTAAGATGCATGACTTTTATTTGTTGATTGAGCATCCTACAAAAGTTTGAGATTATAAAGAAGCTATGCTAAATAACCTTGACAGAATAAAATCCAATGACTTTTCTACCTCCCTGATTGTTGTCAAATGGATTGAATCATAGCCTAACTATATATAACTCAAGAGCCATGAAATAAGTAAGGGAGAGTAACATGTAAAAGTCCGAGCATCTTTATGTTTCACCATTTTTTTTGGAGATTCCCAATCCTAAACTCTACAAGAGCTAGGAAAAGCTTTAAACTCACAACACACACCCTCCTCAATTCACCTAAGATCTAGATAATTTCAAGGACACCACAACAAAATAAACAGGCATTTACGTACGTACCACCCAATTCCTATTTATTTACATATCTAACACCAAAATTTAATTTTTTTTCATTAAAAGCATCCAATCTTACATATCAGAGTAGAAAAATATTTCATTTTTATGCATGATAACCTATATATATGTAAATATTTTGGAATTTAGTGGTATGTATGTAAAAATTTCATTTTTTTTTTTAATTTATGTGTTGAGGAGGACAAAATCTGTACTATACATAAATCTCCACAAAATAGATTCATCTTATAATGCATACCTTCACAGGCAGAACAATCAGATTACGTCTTCAAATCTTCTAATGACATAAGAACAATACATTAAGGCCCTGTCTGGTAACGGATTTAGAGCAGGATTTAAGCTGGATTTAACCTAATAAATCTTGTCAGACGCTTATTTTGGGGGATTTGATAAATCCGGAATGGATTTCCGCCTTAAATCTCGGATTTACTAAATCCCTGAATCGGTGGACTTAGTAAATCCGGGACGGACGCTTCGCGCAAAAAAAAAAGACGTGAAGTTACCTTCCTCAATGGTTTCGGGTAGGAGTGGAGCAGAAGGAGGAAACAAATGGGAGTTTCGGGTCTCTGTGAGCCGCGATCCCGTCGTTGCGTTCGCAGTTATCTCCAATCGCGACTGTATCCAAAGGGTTCGGTGACGAAGGAGATGGTTTTGGACGAAACAGAGAGGGGACCTGCGAGAGTTTCGGGGGACCTGCGGGGGCTTAAAAGTAAGGTAGTTGTTTCATTAATTTTATTCAATTCAATTTTCTTAAATTTATTTATTATTTAATTATTAATTAATAATAAATATATTAAATTTCTTTATTCATTCAATAAATTTATACGCAATTATAAATAAATAATTAATAACAAATTAATTATTTTTATAAATATTAAATTTCTATTTAATAATTAATTTAATAAAATTTTTAGTAATAATTAATTAATTAATTAATTATATAACTATTAACTATCTTTTGAAATAAAATATTAATTGAATTTAAGAAGTCAGTTAGTTTTGAAATATTTTAAAAAGTCAAACCAAAAAATAAATAAAAAACAAAAAAAAACGAAAAAAAAAACTAAATTTTACTATGATTTGTTGTAAAATTCTAAAAGTCATAATAGATGTTTAAACATGATAGAAATTGTCAAATAATAGGATATATTAAATATATTTTTAAATAATTTTTTAAATTTATTTCAACACTTACTAAATTCAGGATTTAATAAGTCCTACTAACTTAAATATCACACGTTGTATGACAACCCTTATTTAATTGCACCAAACTGCCGCACAGAAATTTAAAATAAAATTAATAAACTTGTGACAACAAATCTAATTGCATTTTTCATAAGGGTTAAAAACGATGAGATATAGCACAAAATTTCCCTCATATTCCAGCATCCATCTACATTCACCCGATTCGGATGTAATAAACAAATCAAAAAAATCCACAATCAAATTCACATAATGAAATAAGACGAACATCTCGAATGATCAAACAAAATTAGGACAAGGTAAAGAAAAAAGGTGAAGCAAAATCCGTTAAAAGAAACAGTAACCTAAATCCCGCCAAACAGCAAAAAATGACTGCTTTAAATCCTACGAGATCTTAAATCCCCTTACACTGCCCGATTTAGGCCCCATTGGGGCGGGGGTAGGGTAGCAGAGCAGCGGGGTGCCACAATATTTTGCTATTTTTATTTGGGACGGCGGAGCAGCACCGCCGCGGCGCGTTTAGGGTAAAATGCGGGCCTCGGGTTTGAACACGCGGCCCGCTTTTCTCTTTCGGCATTTTAGGCTGGTGCCCTCTTTTTGATTCAGTCCTAACCCTCTTCCTCTTCGTTCGGCTTTTTACGCAAAGTGGAAGCAACGATATGTTGCTCCTCTTCCCCCTCTTCTCCCATGCTGCTCACGCTTTACGCAAAGTGGAAGCAGCGATATGTTGCTCCTCTTCCTCCTCTTCTCCCATGTTGCTCACGCTCCACGGTTCCACTTCTTCCTCTTCTCCCGCGTTTCTTACGCTACCTGGTTCTTCTTCGTACTCCTCTTCCTCTATTCCCCAGCGGTAAGCATTTTTTTCTTCAACAGATGTGAATGTTTGTTCGTTGGATTTGTGATGTTAGATTTGTAAATGTTGTTCGGTGGTATCGATGTGTGGTATGAATGTGAATGCTAGATGCTACATTGAATTCTTGGTGACTCGATTTTGGGTTTGGTAGGCTGTATGAAAAAAAAAATTAGGATGTGGCTTGGGAATGACAAAAATCTGATGTTAGATAGATTTGAGGGAGGGTTAATATTGATTGTGGCATGGTCATTGATGTGTGGACATATTTTGGTGATCTGCATGAGGATCTAACAAATAAAAGGAAAAAAAAAATTATTGTAGGTGCGGCTTTTTGCAGTAACAGATTTGTTGGTTGACATATTGAGTTTTCTTATATCTCACGCCTGCAAAAAACTGTAATTAATTATTTTTTTAAACAATTTCAACTTATTTTTTGACTAATGGATTGTCTTTTTAATCCTTCAAGAAAGATGAGCTCTAGGAGTTCAGGGACCTTCCGACGAGTGCTCTGCCACTGCGGACTACAGTCTTCGCTATTGACCTCACGTCTGGCACATGGCTATGGGAGAAAGTTCTACAGGTGCCCGCGTGGGCAGTCGGTCCGGAGAAGTGTGACTTCTTCGGGTATGCAGACGGTCCGTCAGATTCCACTGCCGATAGTGATCGGGGTTGGATGATATCTCCAGAGGACAATGTCAGGACATACGCCGGTTGGATTTTAAAATTAATATGATCATTTTTTAAAATGTAATTTTCATAATTTCTTTTCTTTTTTTAGTACACTTAGTACTCATTGTTATGTGAGATGTTCATCTTATTTTTTCTACTATTCTGAAATAGTTTTTTGCTTCTCGAGTATTGAATGTACTACTGTGATAATTCTGTTGCAAACAACATTATTGTACAGGGGCAGAATGATCATTTTTCCAAAAACAGTTGTCACACAGCTGTTTTCAAAATGTAAAAAATAAATATACAGTCATCTTTCACGCAGGGCAGCTGCTGAAAACCAACTTCCCAAACATACATGTATACCATTGGAAGGAGATTCACGAGATTTAGAGGAGTACAGACGAGCGATGGGGGTTGAAAGAAGGAAAAAATATTTCATCCAGACGTGCCTATGTCCGAACGGTCAATCATCGGCGGTCACATACATATGGCAACATGTATGGCAATGTGGTTGTCAGTGATTGACAGTCCAGACGTGCGTTGGTAGGTCGTGGTAGTTCGTGGCCGTCAGACTTCAGGTGGTAGGTCGTGTCAGGTTGTGATTAGCACGTCCAGTGATTGACGCGTCCAGACGGTCAGTTCTGACACCACACATCTGGTGATCGGCACGTCCGGACAACCAGTGATTGGTCGTCCGGACGTGCGATGTCACTTTCTATCATCAGTGATTGGCACGTCCAGTGGTAGGTCGTGGTAGGTTGTGGCCGACCTATCAATTGATGACATGTATATTAACTTGGCCACCGGTGGTAGGTTGTTCAGACGTGCGGTGTCCAGACAGAATATTTTCTTTAATAGAAGAGGGGAAAAAGACGAGGGTTACCTTCATCGATAATTCAAGTTAGAAGCAGAGCGAAAGGGGGAGAAAGAATGGAGTTTCGAGTGACTTTGACGTTGCGATGGGGATGAAACCAGAAGAGGGAAAAAGCTCGGGGGAGCTTATATACATATATATATATATAAGCATTAAATATTTTTCA